TGCAATGTTTACCAGCCTCCTTAGGCTTTTCAATCACAATAATTCAACTGGAATAAAAACAATATTGTTGACATGAAGATATGATTTAATTTTCGTTGTTTAGAGTTATTCTAAGGCTTTACTCATTGGGAACTCGGTATGAGATCGAGCACACTGTTGAGATGTCCAATCTGCCTGTTTTACACACTTTGACCAACAGGGGGTTTGTGTTCAAATGAAGCCCTTGATGAAGCCTCATGAGATGAACCCTTTTGCGAACCAATTGGCTGGAAAGCTTCAAAGCTTCATAAGGCTTCATCTCGCCATCACTACAAAAAGTACGGAATTACACGCAGACAGGATAACTGAATGGGCAGCCAGGAGGATGTAATACCACTGGTGTAGAAAACAATCTGGCAGTGAGTTGCTGGGAGACTGGAGTAGATAAGCTGTGTCCTGATTAGATGATGAGGGACAGCTGAGTCGGACGGCCAGGTGAGAGCAATCAGGCTGCTGCCTGCAAGGGAAACCACACCCTCTCCACACACAGGGGAACAAACAAGAACACAGGTTGCGTTCCAATAGTCCATTTAGCTTAGGAACCTTCCTAACCAAGTGAAATGACCCGGAAGTCCCTCAGTGGCAGCCATGATAAGTGCCGTTCCAATTCTCCAAATGAAAGGAAAGGAGGTTTCAAACTTCCTTTATAACCTCCTTTAGCTTAGGAACCACTGGACCTCCCTAACCGAAAGGAGAGGAGAAAATGCTGCCCCACAATGCATTGCAGCCGCAGCATTTGCCGTCACTCAATAGTCGGCCGTTCACGGAAACAACCGATTATGACCGAGAAATTATATCATGAAAGTTACGGTGCTTATTAAGCATTTTAAAACGTATGTGGTAAGTTGCCAAAGTGCTTTTTTCTGAACGTTCATCAGTATTATAATCAAAAAGAGAAATATGAACGTTAGTTTTTACTGAAATGCTGGCGCATCATAAACACGTCGGATAGTGAAAGTGCATTCGGATTCTCTAAAGTACCGCAGTCTCTTCTCCTAAGTCCTTTTGAATTCTCCTATCCACTATCCCTTAACCCCGTGATGTTTCACTCAGAGGTCAAGGAATAGGAGATAGGGTTAGAATTTAGGAGCTGATTTTTGGATTATCGGAACGCAACCACAGTTTGGACCGTGACATGCTCACCCTCCTTCAAATTTGAAAGACAAGTAATTATATCATGTATCAAAATTCAAAAGATTCAAAGGAACAGTTCAGCGCCCCACGACTTTACTGCAAACAGTTACAAACTTGACTTTACATCAGAAAGAACAAACATTAAATAAGTGACTAACTGCATCAGTTAGGGTTAAAAAAAACGTGTATTCAGCTAAAACATATACATCGCTGCAGTAAGTTATTATCCAGTGGAAAGTCCTTACCTACTGGCCTAGTTAAATCAAAGTGGTTACTTTTTTTTGGCTGGGCAGTCTAGATTTACACACCGTCTTCTTTGACTTTCTCAGGACTTAAAACAGTTTTTTTGGGGCAGACCCCCACAAAGAAAAACATATATACACACATACAAGGTCATCATCTTAACAGTTTGTTATGCTCATCGAGTCATCCGTGAGCAGAGCATCAAGTTGACATGTCTATTACAGCTGAATCCCATAATAATTTATTTAAAAAAATGTTTTAAAACAAAAAGTAAAATATAGTTGCACATATCTGACTTACTGACCAATTTATTTTAATACCCTCACACTCACGCAATTGTTTAATACTCAACAGAATTCTACAAAGTAATCAGCTAACACAGAGACAATGGTCTTCCATAGTATTCAGTACGCACAAGAGCAGACAACAAACTATAGAATGCAATTCCTGAAGAAATTGCTAGTGGGAATGCTTTATGCTGAAAATCTGACGCTAAACTGCTATGCTGAAATGTAATGTGTAAGAAGAAAGTGAAGAATTTAGATTGAAATTATAAATGAACACCGGGGGCTTGAATGTGTGATGAGAGAAGAAAAGAAAGTAAAAAGGCTTGGAAAAGCAGCAGAATATTTGAACTGCAAACTTTTGAACTAACTTGATGGTGAATGATCTGTCGCCATGGCAACGGCATTTGATGACATCCCATAATACGCTTAGATGCGTTGATGGCTGCATCGTTACCAAACCTGTGAAGTTTTGGGGCGTTTGGAGCATTTGAACTGAAGTTGTGAGAAAACCGTGTTTCATGGTGAGCATTGTTTCCGAACGGCATTTGAAGAAATCTCAAAACTGTCCCGTAGATGTCTTCACTGCTGGACTGTTAAAACACATGTGAAGTTTGAGCACTTTTTGAACATTTTCATAGGAGTTAGAGCGATATCATGTTTTATGGCGAGGGATGGAAACGGAAACGGCATATGGTGAGATCTCAGATTTGTTGTAGAGCTGTTGAGGCATGGACCGGTGATATACAAGTGAAGATTGGGGGACATAATTTTTCATGACAAACGTAGGAAAACATCTCGTAGCTTGAAAGATAAAAACAAATTAAGCAAAAATAATTAAACAAAATGCCTCTTGAGGGCATGAAGTGATAAAAACTTTAAACATGTCTCCATTAAACTCCATTGTAAGTTCAGCCTCACCTTTCCCCACCACAGCAGCCGCACACCTTTAGATAAGGTTCTGGTCCAGGCTCTCGTCATCTCACGCCTAGACTACTGCAACTCCCTCCTGGCTGGTCTACCTGCATGTGCCATCCGACCTCTGCAGCTCATCCAGAATGCAGCGGCTCGTCTGGTTTTCAACCTTCCTAAATTCTCCCACACCACTCCGCTCCTCCGCTCCCTTCACTGGCTTCCGGTAACTGCTAGAATCCACTTCAAGACACTGGTACTTGCTTACCGTGCTGCGAATGGATCTGGCCCTTCCTACATCCAGGACATGGTTAAACCGTACACCCCAGCGCGTGCACTACGCTCTGCATCAGCCAAACGACTCGTTGCGCCCTCGCTGCGAGGGGGACCCAAGTTCCCATCGGCGAAAACACGTGGGTTTGCTATCCTGGCTCCAAGATGGTGGAATGAGCTCCCCATTGACATCAGGATGGCAGATAGCTTGCACATCTTCCGGCGCAAACTGAAAACTCATCTCTTTCGACTCCACTTCGAGCGTTAGAACGATTAACGAAGCACTTTTATACCAATAAAGGACTGGATTACCTAAAGCCAGTTGAGTAGCACTTGAAATGTTTGGCTCTATGAAACCTGATATACTTATATGATTCTGTTTTCTTCAAGGTTGTGTCTTCCTGGTCGAATGTACTTATTGTAAGTCGCTTTGGACAAAAGCGTCAGCTAAATGCAATGTAATGTAATGTAATGTAATAATCTGCCAAAAAGGCCACATTATTAACCCGAAAGTACACAAAAAGTACACTTCAGATGCTCAAGTTCCTTGACATGCATCACGCTTTGAAATTTCACCTATATCTGTTACGGTTCTTCAACAAAACGTTCACATGTAACAGGTTTATCTCTCATTCAGAACAATGAAAATGCTTTCCTCTCACTAATCACCATGGAAACCTTTGATCTCTGGACACGTCGTTAGCTCAAATATAAACACCTGTGTCATGGAACACGATGATGTCATAACTCCAATTGACATAATTAGAGCAGCAGACTAATGACGTGGTCACTGGAGTTCAACAGACTGTCTCAGCCTATTATTTTCCATCTGATGGAGACTTCATACTGACTTCAACATGTTCCACATATTTTAGACATTATTGGTGACGTATGCTTTTAGTTCCAAAGTTTTCAGTTCAAATATTCTGCTGCTTGTTCCAAATGGACCAATCCGCGGAGCCGTTATGTTACGTCCGCGGAGCCGTTACGTCCGCGGAGCCGTTACGTCCGCGGAGCCGTTACGTCCGCGGAGCCGTTACGTTTGGACCAATCCGCGGACTTCCTTACACACACACATACTCGGCAGGACGTTGCGAGGCTCGCTGCTGCGAGGAGCGGGACAGTGTGAGCTGAATCACTGGTATGGGGTCGGCGAGACAGCGAGACACTGCGGAACTCAGCCTGAGCACACATACATACAGTACATACTCCCAGCCAGGCTGCGTGTGTGTGTGTTTCGGGCTGGGTTCTTACTGTCTCGCAGGCGGCCACTGGGCTCACAGGGAGGGGGGGGGGGGGGGCGGGAGCTCCAACAAGCCGTTTAGGACAGAGAGTAAATACACATAGCTACTATACAGAGATGCTGTATGAGAAACCAATGTGAGTTTGGAAAATTGCACAATATAAATCTATTTTAGAATACCTCAACAATGGAATTATGATCAGTAGAAATGGCCATGACATGGGACCTTTAAAACTAAAAGAGCTTTACAAAAAAGTAACACAATTAAAGATGTTTGGAGTTTTATTTGAGTTATTAATTTAAATGTGTTGTCCAAGAGATGCTGATTGGAAACCGTTGTTACATACAGTTACGGCATTTCCTGTTTCTGCCGAAGAGAGGGGAGTTTGTCCAAAAGCTTGCCACTGTATTTACACCCTCCATCTGACAGGAGGGAGCCTTGTTGAGCTGCAAGGAGTGGCGTAGAGAACACTCCACGGAGTTCACTACGTCACGGAAGGGGAGTGTGTAGGGGTAGGGTGTAGGGCGTGGTTTGGGATTGGGCCAAAATGTTCATGCCAAATATTTACTAATCTCTAAACTGGATAGCAGATTAACAGATTTAGCTGTTCTCAGTCATTTTTAACTTCATCCCACTGCTTTGGCTATGCTTCAGTATTATTGCTTCAGCTTCTTTTTTAATGAAAAATATTTCTATACTTCTCCCCTGCTCAGTCAGCCATTCTGCTTCCTTCAATGCCCTAAATGTTGGGATTCCCTTCAAACTGGATTACACACCCAGGCCTGCTCAATCACCTCATCAGGCAGTAATGTGTTCCACCTGTGTGTGGTTATATATGCTGAGTAGGACCCTCCCTCATCCTCAACAACTTCATTTAAAAAGTGCAAAAACCAGGGACCTTCACCAGTCTCCCAACTCTTGCCATGGGTTGTTTAGCTGGATTGGGGTTTGTAGTTTTGTTTTTTATGTATATATTTTAAATTAAGGTTTATTTTCCTTTATACATTTAAAACATATTCAATCTTTTTCAGGTGGTTCATTCTCCTTGTAGCAGTTGTTAACATTGAGGCACAAAATAAGCCCCCAATAAGTACGTTTTTGTCATTTTGTGATATTTTTCAACACTTGTGTGCTGCTATCTAATATAAATGTTTAATCCCAGAGATAAACTCTAAATGCCTTGGAAACTTGCTGCGTGTGGATCTCAGTCGACTTGGAGGAAGTTTTTTTGAAGTGTCCGCTGTCATAAGTAAGCTGACATTTCAAGTATATTGCTTTTTCTTAACTTAATCTCACTTTTAATTCAAACTGTTCTTGTTCGTTTCCTCAGATAACTCTTCAATCATCCTCACGCCAAGTTTAGCTTCTCAGTGTGGCTTCACCATCAAGAAATACCACCTGGGAAACGCTGTGATTTATGCCTCCGTCCAAAACTGTTTTGCTCAAAATGTGGTAAAAACAACAATGCTAGTTTGCGACGCAGCACCAAATAATGCTTTTGACGTGGCAATTAATTTTGAGACTTGTTTCCATGTGTTTTTAGGATGATAAAACTTTCACAACAAAACTAAGTCTGCGGCTACAATCTGACAATGTGGTTGAAGATGAGTTTTACCTGGTGGAAGAAACTTGCTACTACTCTCCCTGGGCCTCCCGGGAAATTATCTGTAAACCCAACTACATGGAGGCAAGTGAACGCAGCATGGCATGTTCCCGTCCATATGATTAGTGGCTTGATGCCTCGTATGAGTGTCAAGGCCGGTACATTTCATGTCACTGCAGAGATTGATTATCACTTATGGAGTGGCCTCATTTCTAGGTGTCAGTAAAAAAAGCAGCTCCAAATGATTATAACTTGCCTGCATACCCCGACTCGGATCCCCGAAAAGCTGCTGAGGTAAGATTGGCTAATTTTGCCTTTTTTTTTTTTTTTTATTATTCTAGAAACATCTTGTATGTAATGTCTTGATATTTGCCTCACAGCAACCCATGGATGCAGGCTTCAAAATCACCACAGTGGTGTTCTTCACTCCTGAGGAGAGGGTCATGCAGGTGGACAAAGCCCAGAGAAATGGTTATGGGATCTCAAGCACTCCTACCAGGCTGGTTCTGCGAAGCCCAAATCCTTCACGTGAAACATACACCAAGGATGTAAGTGGACTGCAGTTCACTGAGATTCAAACAACTCTCACTTGATATCTTTCCCCTCAGGCAGACTTGCTAAATCACTTGCAGCCCATTAGGTACTTGCTTACACTTACAGCCATATATAACATAATGTAATCAGACTGCCTTTCTTATGGATCACTTTGTCTTGAAATCTAGTTGGCACTCCTAAATCAGTGAGTTCTTATTTATAACCCCCCATATTTTTAGGAGGGAAATTATGTTACCACAGTATGCATTTACATCCACATGTTGTGTAATCTCCCCCCACAGGTAGCAGGTGTGCCGATGACTGTGCTCAGCACCTCGATTATATTTGAGAAGACGAAGCTGACGACACAACTTTATGCAGGAGCCGCTTGTCCTCAAGCTCAGGGTAATGTAAAGACTCACTGATGTCATGTCTTCTAGTGTTTTTCACTGGGAATTTGGGGCACTTTTTACTGTCAGGAATTTAAAAAACACATCTGCCAGTATTTCTGATTCCAGGATTTTTTAAATATCAAACTTTTATAAAAATGGAGCCAAAAATATCTTTCCCACCAGAATTTAATCCAGGAAGAAGTTTTTTATTTATTTTAAGGATGTGTGGCTGTACAAGTGCTACATTCATAATTTGAATTCTCCTTTTTCAGATTGTTTGAATAAAATATGAAGGATTAACCATTTGTTCAGTCAAAATGTTTTGAGGATTTCACTATTTCCAAAACGTTAACCCTTTTCCTTAAATCTTTCCATGTTAGACCTTTCTTTAAGTGCTGTATTTATTTGGTGTACAGGTGGGGTTTTCTTTACTAAAACCTCAATCCGCTGGTTCCTGCCGAGGCGTATTGACCCTCTGATTTACTCGAAACACTTCAGACTGTTGGAGGTGAACATGGGCGTCGATGGGAGGAAGCTCGAAGCTACAGAGTTATCGGCCAGAAACTATTCCCTGACTCTCGATGACCTTTACGTCATTGTTGAAATTCCTATTGGGGCTGCTGGTTGCCAGATCAAGGTTAGATAAAACAATTTAGTCCATAAATTGACCAGGTCGTTTTAGTCATGCATGCAGCTATGAAAAAAAAAAAATCGGAAATATTACAAAAGGGCAAAATGTAGATGTTTATATTTTCTTGGATCTAAAGAATTTCTCACAACAGTGAAGAAATCGACGTAGTTAAATGGTACATTAAAGTCATTTTAGACTTTAGAGACAGTTTAACAAGCATTAGCACTTTGTTGTTTCATGGAAGATAACACTACTGAAATCCTGTTGGTATGTACAAAACAAATGTAAACAGATCGTGTGAGTATGTTTGACTGTTGCATCATCTAGTGCTTCATTGCCAGACAAATTTCCCTTTTTTCTTTTGATCTGTAGATGATAATTATATTCAGGAAAGGCCTTACTCAGGATGTTTGTTTATGCAGAGTCATGCCCAGGATGGTCAGTACTTCACTTCTTATATGAATGAGCTGATGCTCGAGTTGCTCTGGACTGAAGACGACACTAATGAGGACACGAGATACAAAGTCTTCCTCCCGGTCGAGACCCCCCTGCAGCTTCAACCTCCACAAGTCATTGACGGTGAGTCATATTATCTTGGTACTCATGCTACTTTTTTACATAAATTACAACCTGCCTTAATTTCTTCATTTTTGACCTACAGCCACTGTTCCCAAGGAGATGATGTTTAAGGCGTTGATTGGGCCGATGGGCTTTGATGTAATGCTAAAGAACATCAGCTCCCCCTCTGAGGTTTTGTCCTTGGCCGACTGCATTGCCAGAGGCTTTAAAGTCTTTGACCAAATGTCCCCTAACGGCTGCTCCAAGGTCTATACTGTTGAAGTGCCCTTCACGGACCGTGTCGTAGGACAAAGGGTGGGTCTTACACTCAACGTGGGAAATGAAATGCATTTTTTTTTTTTTTTATGTTAGCTAATAACTATCTGTATCTCCCAACAGAAAGAAATAGGGGTTACAATTTACAATCTTCATCTGACCTTTGGCTTCCTGGTCCTGCCAAAGCATGCTCCATTTACTGCCACTGCTTATCTGAGAGCTAAACTGGAAGACATAGGTCTGTACCCAAGAGGAATTCCTCCCTCTGTCTCAGGCAGCTGTGATGATAAGAATTTCTATGTCCTCGTGAAATACGGGACCAAAGGATTCAACTTTCAGACCATAATGGGAAAACAAATGCTGACCGGGAGCCTGGCTCAGCAGTATGGTTTAATGGACAACGACACACATTTCAGTTTGATTGTACCATTTTCTGCAGCTGATGCTACGGTCGAGGTATGACTCTTAACCAAAGTTTTAAATGTGCAGGGATTTAGCAACATTTGTCAAGATGATAGTCCTCTATAAATCATAATGTATTGTTTCTGAAAACTTCTCAGGCTGTTGCGTCGTCATCCATCAAGAGCAGACTGGATGTGACTCTGAGATATCCGAAGACCAACAAAACTATCCAAGACTTCTCCTTGGCTTGCGACTTCGTCACAAAGCTGATTGGTTTGTTAAAGAGAATACGTTTTCTTATGTAGGCTTGAATCTCCAATGCATACAAATGTCTGATCGTCTTTTTCAGAGTGTTTCCCTAATGGGACCATCACGGCTATGGCTATAACCCTGGAGTCTGTTCTCAGTCTGAACCCCCGACGGCTCACCCTGAGAGACCCCGCCTGTGGCCCCACATACAGCAACGACCAGTACGCTTATTTTGTCTTCACTGCAAACTCCTGTGGGACGACCAGGAAGGTAAAGCATGCTACTAAACAGCTTGCTGATTGCGGTAGGATTAAAACTGAGAAACGACTTCGTTCCATTTTTGTCTTTTCTTAGTTTTTCCCCAATATGATGCTGTATGAGAATGAAATCTCCATCACAGATGAACTTGAATTGAGAAAGCTGTCACAGTCGAAGGAGCCGGAGTTTGAGTGAGTATCTCGAGACTTAAAATCACCAAGCTGAAGGTTGGATGATTAATTTATTATCAAAGCTGTTGCTTGAAAAATGACATGGAAGATTAATTAACAAAGTGCTTCCGGTTTTCAAAATGTCTGCTTTTTAATGCTTTCTGTTTGTCTTAACATGATAAACTTCAGGTCATTGGGTTTTAGACTTTTGGTCAGAAAAGAAACATTCTCAGCTTGGACATTATTAAAAAAAAAAAAAAAATCTGGGTTTTGCAGCTGTAAACATTCATGTTCACCATTATGTAAACTGACAGTCTGATGCCAAAAACAAATACAGAGACTTTATAGGCTAACCATTTGACAAAACTTAGAACTTTAAAGACTCTTAAATGGTATTTTCATTATCAGAAGTCAACTGGTACGCCATAAATCCTTCCATGGTGCAATCCCAGATGTTAACGGTGCCAATGGATAACAATTTAACAGTTCTAAGTGTTCCCACTTAAGAGTTTTCTTCTTTCAGGCTTAAGGTGTTCTGTTTCTATGACATCAACACAAACCAGGCTATTGGCTTCAACACCCGACCTCGCAGGAGTGAACCGTACGCTGACGATGCACAAGGCGAGATGCAGGTTGAAATGAGAGTTGCTTTGGGTAAAGAAAGTTCTTCATGCCTTGTGTGGTTTGTTTTTGTCTTGCATGCTTGCTAAGGATTAGATTTATTTTGTGAAGTCTTTGGAAACCCTCCAAAAGCTAGAAACTGGGGGAAATAAGAGTTCTTTCTATCATGTCAACATGTTGAGAAAACTTTATGCAAAGAGACAGGATAACCCTTTCTATCAAAATGCAGGATTTTGGGTAACTTGGCTGTTGACTGCGCACATGAAAGCTGTCTTACCTAAGACAGTCCTTGCTCTTGGCACATCTAACAATACTACATAGTTGCTTAAGTAATTGGAATGTTTTTTTTCATAAAGTTAATCTTTAAACCAATGAACTGAGTTGGCACCTGGGATGTTGACTATGTACATCCAAGTTAAGCTCTTCTGCATTATGCACCTTAATGTTCTGTACAGGCAGTTTATATTCCTGTCTGAATCCTTAATAATTCGGGTCAACATGTTCTGCTTCACTTCAGACAACTCCTACAGTGTGTTTCAGCGCGTTGAGGACAATCCCATCACAAAGTACCTACAACAGCCGCTGTATTTCGAGGTGGAACTGATGGGATCTTACAACCCTAAAGTATCTCTTGAGCTGGCGCACTGCTGGGCGACGCTGGAGGAGGACAAGATGTCCCTCCCTCGATGGGACCTCATCGTTAACGGGTAACTTGTATATATTTCTTTATTTTTTCTTGTCCCAATGAAATGTTTGTCAAACCGAACAAAAGGGATGGTTTAAAATCATAGGGTGCTCATTTTGTAGACTTTAGGACATCTTTACCCAAATAAAAAACTCTTTTTTTTTTTTTTCTCCCTCAGTTGTGCAAACTCAAGGGACCCGCACCCAGTGATCTTCCACTCTGTTTTGCCTAAGGGCAGAGTTCCTTATCCTTCCAACTTCAAGCGGTTTGAGGTCCCGATGTTTGCCTTCGCCGAAGACAAGGATAACTTGAACCGCCAGGTACTATCAGTCATAAGAATAAATAGTCTTTTTATTTTTGGATGCTTCAGAGTTTGGAAAACAAAAGTATGCTGTCTATAACAAATCCTTAAATCTGTTCATATCTTGTAGGTCTTTGTCCACTGTGAGGTGGTCATCTGTGATGTTAGAAATCCAGTGGATGCAGCTTGTAATGTACAGTGTTCAGACCAGGACAACACGATGAAGGGTATGCTCGCATACATGCTGATTTCATTATCCAGTAATGTACGATAAGGTTTACACGTGTTGGCTCAAATTATAAAATGGGACAATGGCTTTTGAATAAAGTCGCTAAGATATATATATATATATATATTTTTTTTTTTTCTCCCACAGGTCACAAACGTGCCATTTCAGATGACCCCGGTTTCAAACACGTGACTTCAGGACCCATCATTATAATGAGCTCCTAAACAAAATCCTAATAAAATATTTAAAATTAATTCACTTGTATTAGTTATTGAATTTTTTCTTTTCATCTATAGTTGTGTTTTCTATGGTTATGGTACGGTGGCCGGCAGGTGCAAACGCGGAACAACGGCCCAAAACGCATACATAAGCAGGAAACACCTGCAAATAATGAAATGAAAAACAAACAAACCCTGAAAACAAATATAACAGAAAAACGCTGCATTTACAGAAATGATGCAAACTAAATACAACACACAAACCCCGAAAACAAACGCAACAAAAAAACGCTGCAAATACCAAAATGATATGCAAAGTCCAAAGCACGTACAAATCCCAAAACACATACAAAAAAAACATTCCGTAAGTGCTCCAGGCCTCTAGGGGGCGCGCTACGTGGCACATATTGATGTCTGACCAGACATAGAAAGAACGAACAAGAGTGATGGAAATCGAGAGGAAAGAAAGTTCATTTAAGTGGAGAAAGATATAAGAAGGTAAGTTTTGTTTTTATACATAGAGCGTCATATTTATATAGCTAGCGTTAGCGTGCCTAACTACTACACCAGCTGAGGGAGGAGAGCTTCACGTGAAGAGAAGATAAAGTGAGGGAAGAACATTGTTAAAAGAGATGACAAATCAAGTGCAGGCAAATAACACGGGCCATAGTGAGTACCGCGGAAAAAGGACATTTGAATTCTTAGCAGTTTGTTATATGTATATTAGTGCTGTAGCGACGCGTCGACGTCAAAATATCGTCGACGACATATTTCCGCGTTGACGCGTCGCCACCATAGACTGTATGACGCCACACACACGTGGGTCACCCAAAGCAACAAGCAGTTCGCAATCGCACTTCTAACACAATGGAGACTGAAACGGCTACCAACTCCTCCTCACAGGATTGCGCACGAAGCCCTCAAACGAAAACATCTCGCCCCAGGTCTTCAAAAGTATGGGAATATTTTAAAGTTAGTCCAAAACGCAAAGATATTTATATATGTATATCTCACTGAGACTGCTGCTTGACCGGAAGCAGCAGCTAGCTGTGGTGGCAACCATTAGCAGCTAGCATTTGCTCTCCGATTTAAAATGGAATTATGGATTATAAATTCAATAATTTTGTTATACATAGACGTTAAAAACCTATGGATTAACCGATTCAGCCGCGTTTTTTCTCATTTGAATGCCATTGAACACGTGTTTTGATCAGATTGACAGCTACGGCGGTGAGACGATCTCCCTAGAAGCTCTGTGAAGGTACGTGTTGTGATGACTGTATTTGCTTCCCCTGTCGCGAGTCCGGATCACTCAGTGATGATACTATATACCTACATAATCTGTGGAGTCTCAGCTTTAATCGGATATCTTGTATGTGCAGCTACGATAAGTAATAAGGGTACTTTTATCTTGAGATATGTGCCAATGTCCGTTAGCATTTTTCGCTCAGGGGTCATTTAGATGCTTCTTATGAGACTTGTGTTTTGTTTTGGTAAACATGGTTTGTATCGTCAGTTAGCTGAGATTATTTCCGTTAATCTGGTATAACACATTAATAGGTTCTTAAATATTAAGATCCCCTGAGACACAGTATCGTGAAAAAAAAATTTTTTACATTACGTTTTTTATGAATTGAACAACAGAAAAATAATCGTTCGACTAATCGATCAAATAATCGCCCGATTAATCGTTTTCAAAATAATCGTTTCCCCCCAGCACTAATGTATATATTTGTGTATAGATGTTGCAACTATACAGAGCTTTAGCAATTACCTGTGACTATGGTCATGCTAATAAAGCTATTGAATTGAGAGAGAGATGTGACAACATGTGAAGAGGGACAAAGTAATGACAGGAGAGTAGTGTGCATTAGACATGCTCAAGAACAAATATAGAGACATTCAAGGAGAGAGACAAAACACAGATTCAACGGTAAACATGATGTATCTTTCTATTTATTTAGCTAACCACTATTTAGACTGTGTTTTTGATTAACTTGATTAAATGGATTTACTACATCAATGTATGTATTTTCAGGCCGCCATGTTGTGTCCTTTCTGTGGCCAACATCTGGGGACAGTTCAAGTGTTCTGTGGCTCCTGTGGCAAACATGTACAGTTTGTGGCAAACATGTACAGTTTGTGGCAGAAGTTGAACACAACAGTAAGTTCACTTTTTTTATTGTATCTGTTTCAAATGCAAGAAATAAGGATTCAACACACTACTCTGTTTAGAATACTAATTGGCAGATGCATACACTAGTTATCAGCATGAAGGACACATTTTTTCATTGTCTGTTTATGTGAAATATGTAGAAGCCATCATTACATTTTAGACCAATGCATGATTAAATACACAAAACAGCTTATATTATACATTCATAATTGTGTATTAGTTGTATCTTTATAGAGAACATTATACATTTAGAATCAGATTTTGAGACAGTGAGCGGCTGGGAAAGTCACACCGCCATGGGGCACAAACAGTTGCTGACGTGATGTTTTCTTCATTCTCAGGCGTTCCATAAGGAGGGTCAGGAACTCACGCTTGGGACCACCAGTGTCCCCTCCATCCTCAGTTTGTCCCTCATCATCAGTGAACTTAACTGACGTCTCATGAGGGATCGAATGAGCCACCTTTGAAGCCGCGGATTGCTCCATCCCACACATTGGCTCTATTCATATTGAACCTGCTGCAAGATGTATTTGTTATTTTTGCAGAGAGTTCTGCAACAAAGTCCGCCGCAGTCAGGTATTCTGTGCTGGGAAAGACAAAGTGATGTATTGTAATATTAAATGATGAAGCTAGTAATAAGATTTACAGAATAGAATAGAAAAATCAAGTGGTAATAGTAACAATTAATACCTTTGCTCCATTTTGTCTTCTGGCTCAGACTGGCTATCAATAATGAGAAGTGCATACACAGTTGTGTAGTTGCTGCAGTGAGAAGACAGTTGAATAATACTTTCAAATACATAATATATGCATGACAGTCATATTTACAAAAGGATGTCGATCCTCTTCCTGTTTTTTCAATACATTGGGTTCTAAACTGACAACAGCACTTTGTCATACTCCTGCACAATCCTTGTAAACATTTGAAATGGATGCAACAAAAAATATCTGAGGGTGTTTTTTGTATCGTCTTCACTAAGATGTCAGATGTTGTGGGTGTCATTTGTAAATGTATGAAAGTATAATTGTTCTGCTTCCTGGCAATGTTACGCACTGTGATTGGAGGCTATACAAACAAACAAATGTAAAATAAAGATACACAGCAAACAACTGTCACGATGCAACTGTCAACATCGTTTACCTGTAGAAGTGGTTCTGACCCGGGGCAGACTGGACCTCTTCCTGGAATGGGGTTGGTGCTGCATCCTAGTTTTACCCAGGAAATAAGTGCACACAAAGGTATTTATTAGGGCCGGGACTCGATTAAAAAAATTAATCTAATTAATTAGAGGCTTTGTAATTAATTAATCGAAATTAATCGCATTTTTAATCACATATACATATTTGACCTAAGAACAGTGAGAAGCAATTTTTTTTCACATGGATTTTAGTATACCATTAGGCGCATTCACACCGCAGTACTTTTCCCACAAAGGTTCATGAGAACTTAGTTCATGAGAACTCTTTGAACCTGGGGGAGGATTAGGCAAATGAAGCCGCTGACGTCACTTCTTCTTCTTCTTCTGCTTTGGGTTTACTGGCAGGCCGCAAACCACTTCACGGCGTATACTGCCGCCCAAAGTCCCCGGCCGGAAGTCCCCGGAGTTGGGGACTGGCTTCAGTAGAAGCTGCTGGGACTCCCAGCAGCCTTCCGAGTAAATCGCCAGAACGCCGACACCTCCTCATCTCCACCGCTCCCATGTTTTATTTTGTGTTGCCATAAGTTAGTCTCTCTGCGTTTCTGCGCTGGGCTAATGCTAATAATGCTAATGCGAGGATAATAAAATGGCGGCTTCACAAAACTTTTTGGGAGTTTTACGGGGCGTGGTTGGCAATCCGCCCAGCCAATCAGAAATATAGCTCTTTTCTCACAAGAGAGCCGTACGAAAGTCCCTGCTCTCTAGCAGCTCTCTGCTCTCTAGCAGCTCTCTGCTCTCTAGCAGGGACTTTCGTGGGGGTAAAAAGGTTCTCATTAACTAATTTTAGTACCGGCTCTTTTTGGTGTGAACGCGATAAAAGAGGCTAACGTCCACGCTAGCTTCCACGCTAGCTGCTATATGTTTTGCATTGAGGTGATACTTGAGGCTTGATGTGCTGCGGTGATATGCGAATTCCTTTTTGCATAATTTGCACACAACCGTGCTCTTATCAACGCTTCCATCCGTCCGTTTTTTAAAACAACATTTCCCACTGTTGTTCACTGTGGTTTGTTGTTGTCTGAAGTCATGAACGTTAGTTGGTGCTCCAGTATAATCGGTACGCCTGAAACTCATCCAGTGAGAAACGTTCCGCGGTGCAAAATAAGTGCGATTAAAATGCGTTAATTTTTTTAACGCGTTAATTTTTGTGTAATTAATTAATCTTAATTAACGCGTTAAAGTCCCGGCCCTAGTATTTATTGATTTAATGTTCACAAATTCAAACCTACATGGTATAATTACATTTTGAATTAGTCTTATCCGATCAGCGTTGGTTGTGGTGCCTGACCTTTTGGTAAACACTTTTTGGTGTCTATATACGCCGGGATCCGGAGTCATGGATGATCCTGCGCTCCTCTGTCCTGGATCGCGAGCCCTGGATCTTGAGTCGTGGCTGTGGTCCTGGATCATAGGTCCTGGATGGATATCCTCGTGGATTCATCTTCCTATTATACACACATGCATTTCCAAACATTTGGACTACCTATGTTGCAAATGTATTATCTTTTCAATTTACACACGGCATCTATTACACGTCTGTCCGTCCTGGGAGAGGGATCCCTCCTCTGTTGCTCTCCCTGAGGTTTCTCCCATTTCCCCTTTAAACTGTGGGTTTTCTTCGGAAGTTTTGCCTTGTACGATGTGAGGGTCTAAGGACAGAGGGCGTCGTATTGTCATACTGATATTTTGTACAAACTGTAAAGTCCACTGAGACAAATGTAACATTTGTGATATTGGGCTATATAAATAAACATTCATTCATTCATTCATAAAGGTAAACAACAAATATATTCAAACTACTGTACTGTTAAAACATTCTGCTTCTTGTGGCACAAAATAATATGTTGACAATGTTTTATTTTACCCTGGCAAACTGTTGTCCATTTGTGGAGTGCTCACTTTTGGAACATTTGGAATGTCCCACACCTGCATTCACACAAATGACTGACTGAATTAAAATAAATTCACTTTAATTAAGAATAAATGCCACGATAAATCCAAACTGACCAAGGTACAGTATATTGTTGACCGTCCTTTAACTCTTACATTAGGATTTATATTGAAGCACAATAAACCAACTCCTCTCTGCACCTATAATATATCTATATGATGTCAAGAGTTACATTTAGGTGCACAGTGCTGTCTCTTGACTTGCAAGCTCTTTCACCAAACAAGCTAACGCTAGCTGGGTGAATATGACGCTCTTTGTATCAAAACAAAACTTACCTTTTTATATATCGTCTTTTTCCACTTAGATCAACTTTGTTTCCTCCGGCTTCAATTTGCAGCACTCTTGTTCGTTCCCTCTATGTCTGGTCAGACATCAATCTGTTCCACGTAGCGCGCCCCCTAGAGGCCTGGAACACTTCCGGAATGTTTTTTTTTTTGTATGTGTTTTGGGATTTGTATGTGCTTTGGACTTTGCATGTGGTTTTGGTATTTGCAGCGTTTTTTTTTGTTGTGTTTGTTTTCGGGGTTTGTGTGTTGTATTTAGTTTGCATCATTTCTGTAAATGCAGCGTTTTTTGGTTGTATTTGTTTTCAGGATTTGTTTGTTTTTCATTTCAGGATTTGCAGCTGTTTCCTGCTAATGTATTTGTTTTTGGCCGTTGTTCCGCGTTTGCACCTGCCGGCCACCGTATTATGGGGAGGTCCAAAATGATTCTCTGCTCCAAACCACATGTATTTACTGTACAGCAGCTGTGTGGTCTGCAAAGGCTACAATCCTAAAGTTTCCTTTTTAGAGGGAGTTTCTTTTACAGACACCCCCCACCTCCCCCCCATTGGACTCCTATTTACTTCAGAAACAGTGACATCACTGTGTCACATCACTGTCACACTTGCGCTTCTATTGGGTAGCACTGCAACACATTGAAGTGACATCTGGTATGGAGTCAGATTTGGGTCAATATTCTAGCGCGCAAAACAAGCTACTCACGAGCGGAAAATGTGTTTTTACACGCGAGCGAGCGGCTATGCGAGAGAGAGACAGCTCTCTTGTATGACTTGTGCCAAAGAACAGATAACTAAGCTAACTGAGCGGAACACTGACGTGTCAACGTACGCCAACGCCTCAATCAATTTTGAATGGGTTGATGTAGAATACAGGCGACGTCACGACGATGTCAGACGTCACGGTGACGTATCGGTGCGCTCAAAGTACGCGCTCACGTGGCGGCGGCATAGCTTAGAAAATGCTATCTTAGATATGCGTGTTGATAACGTGCGTGTGAATAACGTTCGTCTCGCCTCCGTCAGCATTGTATAGTATCTGGTACGGGGATTAATAAGAGTTGTGTCTAGCAGCTCTCTCTCTCTGCTCGGGAACAGCTGATTGCTACATGGCGATCAGCTGTCCTCCCTCCCTCAAGGTGTGTTTGGGTGTGTCTGTGTGTCTCATTCACTGTCCCTCAGGTTGTCGCATGTTTCGATTGCCAGTTTGTGGCTTGTATGTCATGTGAACGCAACGCTGGCATATGATGTGGCCTGCTGACATGGCCTCTAATAAACACACAGGACTAAAATAATATGTGTGTAATTCAGCCCAGACGCGGTGACTGCAGGCCAAATCCCTTAATGTGGCATATATTTGTGAAGTTTAACTACAGGGGTCCCTCAGGGCTCTGTTCTTCGTCCCCTCCTCTTCTCCCTGTACACAAACTCGCTCGGATCAGTCATTAGCCCGCATGGTTTTTCATACCACTGCTACGCTGACGACACCCAATTAATTCTGTCCTTTCCCCGCTCAGAGACCCAGGTCGTCGCACGCATCTCTGCTTGTCTAGCTGACATCTCTCAGTGGATGTCTGCTCATCACCTCAAGCTCAACCTTGACAAGACTGAGCTGCTTTTCCTTCCGGGAAAAGATTGTCCCACTCTTGATCCCACTATCAACATCGGCACCTGTGTTGTTTCCCCGACTCAGACTGCAAGGAATCTGGGTGTGATCCTAGATAACAACCTGTCCTTCACTGCAAACATCGCTGCTACAACCCGTTGCTGCAGATACACGGTTTACAACATCAGGAAGATACGTCCCCAGCTGACACAGAAAGCGACGCAGGTTCTGGTCCAGGCTCTCGTCATCTCACGCCTAGACTACTGCAACTCCCTCCTGGCTGGTCTACCTGCATGTGCCATGCGACCTCTGCAGCTCACCCAGAATGCAGCGGCTCGTCTGGTCTTCAACCTTCCTAAATGTTCCCACACCACTCCGCTCCTCCGCTCCCTTCACTGGCTTCCGGTAACTGCTAGAATCCACTTCAAGACACTGGTACTTGCTTACCATGCTGCGAATGGATCTGGCCCTTCGTACATCCAGGACATGGTTAAACTGTACACCCCAGCGCATGCACTACGCTCTGCATCAGCCAAACGACTCGCTGCACCCTCGCTGCGAGGGGGACCCAAGTTCCCATCAGCAAAAACACGTGGGTTTGCTATCCTGGCTCCAAGATGGTGGAATGATCTCCCCATTGACATCAGGACAGCAGATAGCTTGCACATCTTCCGGCGCAGACTGAAAACTCATCTCTTTCGACTCCACTTCGAGTGATATAATTATTAACAAAGCACTTATATACTAATAAAGGACTGGCTTATCTATAGCCAGTTGAGTAGCACTTGAAATGTTTGGCTCTATGAAACCTGATGTACTTATATGATTCTGTTTTCTTCAAGGTTGTGTCTTCCTGGTCGAATGTACTTATTGTAAGTCGCTTTGGATAAAAGCGTCAGCTAAATGCAATGTAATCTAATGAAGTTGCACCGGTATGAGGCGCAGTGAGAACCACGCACCTGTCAGACTAGCGAATGGGCACAATTCAATTTCAGGAGAATATTGAAGATGTGATTGGTTGTTCCACTCTCCGTTTCTCACGAGACCAGCGCGCTGCTGTTTACATTAGTGTGTACTGGACCTACTGAAACTGACGGCAAGGTTAATTATTGTGGAAGGATGGACCCCCATCCTGCAACAAAAAGGCAGCGAAATGTGCTAAAATCACTGATTTATTCAGAACCCCCGTATGGTATAGAACAGGGGTATTCAACTAATATTCAACAAGGTCCAGTTAGAGAAAATCTCCCCATGCAAAGGTCCGGAACATAAAAATGTCTAACTTGCTTCATGAATTAGTGTGATATATATTGAAGTAGCCTGCAGCTTTATCAACGTCTGCATGTAATCAACAACTGACTGCCAATCAAATAAAGAAAGTATAATTCATAAACAACAATACTTATTGTCCATTAACATTGAACTATACAGATATACAGTAAATACTGTGGATATGTGTAATGTTCCTCTCGGGCTGCATTTAAAAATAAAATAGAGAAAATAAATAAAATAGCTTTTGAAAATATGTGCATCTTAAAAGTGCTTAATTTTAGATAAATAAAATAAAGTGTAGCAGCAGTTTGAGTTTTCCCTTTTCTTTGTTAACCGTTTCACATCATGACTTAACAGTTTCAGACGATTATAGAACAATATCAGTCTTTACACATCATAACAATTGAACAATTGTAAAGTTTCTCTTTCTTTCCCTCTTATATTGCAGTCCCTCACTCGCTTTTTTAAAATTCAGTGCGAGAATTGAGCTTGAGCTCCTGCCAGGAGTTTAGATCTGGGCTGAAATTGTGTCAGGGCCATTCTCATACACATGCAGGTGCTCATTGGTTACAGTGATGCAAACACAGGTATGGTGAAAAAAGAGAGAACTATTCGAAGCAGAAAAAAACAGCGTAATATACCATCTGACAAAGGCCTGTGCTATAATGCTTCAATTAACTGGCTATTCTTTATAATATACTCAGATCAATAGGAGACAGAGATGTTAAGTTATACATCAAGGGTTTTTATTATTATTTACAGCAGGGGTGGGGAAATGTTTTCCTTTCAATTTTTACAACATCCTCCGAGGGTCGTACAAATGATTGAACTCAACCTCTGCTTAAAAAAACTAAAATCACAGCCATTTCACCTTTCTTTCATGCTGTGAAAAGAAAAAGCAACCTCTTAATCCAGATATCTCACCATGACTCACGTATGCATGCATGTGCACGGTTGTGGCATGACCACCAAAACAAAGATATGGACACAAGATGTGTGCAAATGTATTTAGTATCCTATCCATGTGAACATGATTTAAGTGGCGGGGGGGACCTAACCTCCTCTAGGGGGGTCCGGGGGCATTTGTTTTTTAAATATTGAAGTTAAAAGCATCAATCTGGTGCACTTTGAGAGCAAAATGAAGAGATCGATAGTTACGGCTGTAACTACGGTTCTATGAGTCCCGGATGACCGCCAGAGGCGGTGCTTTAGCACTGGATGTGT